GCCGGGGCAGAGAGAAAAAAAGGAACCCCTGACGTATCGGGGTCCCTGCCTTTGGAGTAGCCGGGGCAGAGAATAGATAATAGAAAATAGTTAGTGAAACCATGGTGTAAAATTAAAAGCTATTTTTAAAAAGGGAAACGTGTTAAGGAGGCCTTATTTTGTCACAAAAAGTTTTGTAATTAACCAATTCCAGGCTGATAAATGACAAAAGTAAAGAAGCAACAATATTTCAGTGATCACGGTTTAAATTACATACAGAAAAAGGGAGTTTTTGTTTTTTGGCGTGAACAGAGTTCACCGGAGAATGCAGAGTTTTATCTAAAGTTGAGCTATGAGAGCTTTCGTGAGTTATTTACATTTTTTTGCCGAGTTTTATCTACAGTTAAGCTATGAGAGGGTTGTATCCAACAGTTGTTTTTGTTTTTTAGAAAGAGATTTTGAGTTTAAATTAGCTACCTCGATAAAATAGAAGCGTAAACGTTAAAGACAAGAGTGCCTTTTGTTACTAGTGTGGAAAGTGGCCATTTCTAGACTTGGATGACAAAAGTTTAAAGAACAACATCAGTTATATTTGCTTAACAAAGTAATCTTGAAAGTTATTCTTCTTTCTGTTTTAGCATTTTTGCTGAAACACTACTTTCTGCCTGTGTGTGTGCTCTATCTTGCTGCCGTTGTCAGGGAAACGGCCCCCTCCTTCGCTGCTCTGGCTCTGAATCAGAGCTACTGCTTTAGGATTTCTGGCTTTTCATAGTTGTTATTCCGTTAAATTTGCAAAATTTGCCATTGAATATTGTGTAATGACACAGTTAAACGTTTTTAAACACCATTAGTGAATAAGTTTTGAATATTATATGTTTTTTGAAACCCAAATATTAGTGCTAAAAGCTGTGCAATTCTTTTTAGACCTAACATATTTCTAGATTCCATTCTTTTAAATCTGCTGCTTATTTTGTGAGTCCATTATTGTATCTCTGATATATTTCATAGCTGTTTGTGAGAATGTTTTTATGTTTTTATTTTAGTTACAAAAGCCGTTTTTCAAACATTTAAATTAGAATCTGTGTTAAAAGTGATTATTGATTATAGACTTTGTCTAAAAAGAAAGAGGGAATTAGATTAGCTGTAAAAGTATTATATTATTAAGTTAAACTACCCAATTCACATGCAAGTGGCGACTTTTTGTTTTTGTTTTGACTACACGCCTGACCTTACTGCTGCTGATGCCACAGCAGAGGAGACTGGCTCTAAAATGTGCAAGATAATTAATCACACAGTACAAAAGTACACATATTTTAAAGTTAAGGTTTTTTGAGATTTGAGTCTTGTTTTTTATTAAGAGAGTTTCTGGTCTTAAAAGTGTCATCATTAGTAAGATAATAAGTAATCTTTTATTTACATAGCGCATGTGGGAAAACCCAGAGCGCTTCAAAATTGTTTTGACTTTAGGGAGAAAAACAATCTCATTCACAATCTCTGTTGTTTTTAATTTGACTATAAGGTTGTTTTCCAGAACCAAGGGCACACACTGTACAGGGTCACTGGACAGCAGGAGTGGACACTGAGGGATCAGAACAGTGGCCCAGAGTAGACACCATCCAACCAGCCGCAGATCGTAAAGGCGACATAGCTACCTCCGTGTGCCCCTCCCCCACTACAGACCGATGGTCGTAGGTGGCAGTGAGACCGGGGCCACAAAGTGAGGTTTTCTGTAGGCAGTGGTGGGTGAGTTGTTTTGCAATCTGGAAGTGTGCCCACTTTGCTTGTTTACATCAAGACAGTGTGACCTTTGAGACCTACAGGTGGTTCGAGGAGTCTGGAGACACAACCCCAAAATTCACACCCCTTACATACACACACACACATTCACATTTACATATAGATACATGAAAAAGCAGAACATGAGAAAAAGCATTTTAAAAGTTTACTCCAATGTAAACACATATTTTTTATTGTCTATCACTTGAATCAGTATTTTTTGAGACCAGAAATGTTCATTTGAATTCTATATTGTCATGGACTAATTGACCTCTGTCCTGACACTTTTGATTTGTTGATTTTGTACTGTGTGAAGTAATTACATTGATTAGGATTAGATCTGATAAAAACACAAATTAGAGAAGTAAACTGCGCTTGCTTTTGTCTGAGGGACAGAAGCAACAGCATGAATAGAAATTGTCTTTAAAGTAGAATCAAAGTGATTTAACCATAGAAAGTAACTACTGCATTACAAGCTGTGTACAGGAACTGTGACACTGCACCATTGACCAGAAGTGCATCGCAAATGACCTGATGTGCTTCAAGTGAAAAGACTGTATCTGGAGATCCTGATGTGCATCTGGAGAGACCAAAACCATGGCTTGGACCCTACTGATGTCCAAGATGACATCTCTCGAAATATGACCTGACCTGATGACGACTGAGACTCACCCTCAGGGGACCCTGAGGACCTGAGGACCTGAGAGAAAAAACTGGGGAGTGATGTTTATATTATTGAAATAATGCCATTGATGAGTGCTAAATGAGAAAGATAATCATGATTCTTTCTTTTGTTTTTGTTTGTCCCTAGCTTCTGGACATCTGATGATCTATTGGACACAGCCATTTGCAGAACAAGAACCAGCCAATGAAAACGTCTATTGCCGATGCTATTGCTAAAACCAGAAACTGTGACAAATGCAATATACATGTTAAGTATTCAGACATCTGACAGACAAAAAACTTTGAAAATGATAAAGTATGAGTATTGTAGCGTTTTATTAGATGTCAAATAGTAGTAAAAGAGTAGAATTTGACTTTCTTTGTTGTTCATAAACACATTTCCACATAAGAGTTAAAATAGTACCCTACAATGTTATCTTTCTGATAGAGCAGCTAGAATATTAGAATCAGAATAATGTTACAGCCATTAAAAGTGACAGAAGTCACAAATTAGGAATATGCCTTTGCTCAAGCTGCAGCCAAGCTTTTGAGTTAAAAAATAGAGTAAAAAAAGGAATAGATAAATGCATCAACCATAGATGCTTTCAAAAATAGAGATTATTTGTAGCCAGTGTTAATATCAAATGGTAAAGGGACCATTTCACAAACCTTTGCTTCAAAAGTAGATAAAGTTACTTACAGTTTATGCACAGTTTTATTAGATACTTGCCAAATTCACTTGTGTTCAAACATCTGTGAATGTTGACAATGCAAAAAGTCCATATGAGTGTAGTCTAGATTAATGCCTAGATCAATGAGATAGATTACAACCAACAGAGATTCAAAAGCATTTTGATGTATTTGGGTATAGCCCACTGTCGATTCATCAGAACAGATTAGAGAATCAAACACCATTGTAGACCCCAACCCCAAACCTGCTAAAATAGATTAGCTCTTGTAAGGATAATACTAATTTGATTAAAGATGTACATTCATTCCAAACTGCCTGACAATAATATCTTTAGATAATAAAAAGTAATAAATCACTGACCACTATAGAAGTGTAAATGTTGACCATTTGCCTTACTGTGTTCACAGTTTTATTCCTGAGAATGAGAATAGACATGGAGCAAAATCCCACTAATAATATGCCACTGATAATGAAAGTAAACCACAGAGAGATTTATTAGATTAAAATGTATGTTTAAGAATATGGCTCAATAGAAGCAAATATTGTAAATAGATTAGAATAGTTTTAAACTATAGTGAATAGTAAAAGTAAAGTACACAGTCTAAGATTGAATAGTGAAAATAATACAGTGGAGTGTAGTGTAAACAATTAGCATTAGAAGAAAAGTATAGAGTAAGAAAAGTAAAATTAGCTTCTAATTTGAGACTCAGCTCGTTTTTGTCTGTGTTTTGACTGAATCTGCTGAGTTCTTGTGTGTCCAATAGTATTTGTTTGTTTTTACTTTTGTTTGTTTTTATTTTTGTTTTGTTTTTTGTTTGTTTATTTACTTTATTTTTGTTTGTTTGTTTTTTCCCAGGATAGAGGATAAAATCCACTGATATTGATTTGATGATTATGAGTTTTAATAATTTTTTAAAGTTTTTTTTTGAATTTTTTTTTTCTTTTTCCACTTTATTGATTGATCAAATTGAATGATCACATGTGATTATGTGATCAAAGGGGAGGGTGTTAGTATTAGATAGCAATATGGCCTACGTGCAGGACTGTACAAGGACTCTACATGTTATGACTATGATGTGACTGTCTCTTTGTGACACGTATGTCTTTCGATGTGTGACGTGACAATGACTATATAAACTGTGTAGTGCCTTTATTCTGTCTGAGAGAAAAAAACGGAGTAAACCATTGGAACTTGAGAGAAACCTAAATAAACTTCCAGAGTTTGGCACACCACGATCCGTCTCTCTCTGCTTAATCCCTAACAGTATTCACCAACCCATCTGCAACGTTCTGTCAAATCTTGCACTTTGCGGACGGTCCCTTGCTGAGAGCTTATCACACGTACGAGCGGAGACTTCATCTTCATTGTTTTTCGTGTTATAAATCGTTAGCTGCAGCCTAAGTAAAGTTTTTTTTATATAGGTGGCAACATTGTGAACAGTATTTAATACTACACTCTTCACTAAACTGAAAATACGGACAGACTTTGAATCCAGGGGGATTTTGTTCGAATATCAGGCGAATATCAAACGTTCGGTTAACTTCACCTCGGTGACATCGTCTGGTAATAATGTGCAATTGCAAACGAAGTCAAAGTGTTTATTATTTCCGAGCAAGTATCATGGAAGAGCGGCAGGTTAACTGTGTTTCACGGTCCAGATTTGCTAAACATTTACAAAGTAACACCGACGTGTCTAAATATTTGAACTTTTTACATGCACTCATGACAACCCGCGAGGACATTACAAGACAATAAATCTCTCAAAAGAATTGAGGTTTTCATTTATATGCCGTTTTTGAGTAACATGGCGAATGAATGCAGCCAGACTTCAAATAAGTTCCATGTCCCTTTGCAAAACCAGATTGCATAATTACTTGCTTTGTTGGCAGCATGTTTAGCACTTACAGTAAGCAGCACTTCTCTTCCCGCTTGGCATCTGATGAGAAAGTTTGTGAATGTTTATCTAAAGGTATGATCATTATGCATGTCCGTTTAGACCACATGACAATGAAATGTATCATATTTTACCATTGTCTTCTAGATCATTGGTAGTATTGTTATAGTAACTTCTCCCGAGACAGGGCAGCCCCAGGATTGGTCGACTGGAATGAAGATGAAGATTAAAGACGTATGCCATTTAGGGAAAATACGAATGTGACTAGGTCAATACAAATTAGAATGAGAAGGGATGGATGGATGGATGGATCCAGCTTGGTGATGGATGGTCACACATGGAAAAAAGGATAAAAAATAGCATATAACCAAATTGAGGTTTAATCATACATCTATTAAGATATTTAGTTGAACAAATATGCGTGTACGTGCAGAAAAGCCTTGGTGGGCGGGCCTGCTGGCCCTGACGCAAATGAACCCGGAAGCAGCAGGACTGTAGAGATTACTCGAGTCAAAAGACTGACACGGCAGTGGAGGCTCAAGGTGAGTGAAGACACATCCATCATTTTTAAATCAAACTCCTATTCTATATAAAGACACGATGCTTGCATTAGTTTATAGGATATGTCTTTAACTGTGCTGCTTACAAACTAGCTAGTTAGCACACTTTCTTAAGGCGACAGCGTGGTGTGACTGCCTAGGTTGAATGAATGGCATGTGTTACTCGTTTCCTTTTTGAGTCAAATTCGTTTTTATTTTTTGTTAAACGGTGTTAATGGGCTTTAAACTGAATGTTCTTGAATAAAGGGCACGGCTGTCCCTTGTTTCCTGCTTCGATAATCGATCGAAGTGGAAGAAGAGCTGTGCATTTATAATACGGGGCATCTTTTTCAGACATAACATGTTTGAGTATCTTATCCTATAATCATACACGTATGTTTGCATAGATTTACAATTGTTTTAAGTTTTATATTGGAGTACGCTTGCCTTCTCCATACACCAGATATAAGCTAAATATAGAAAGACATTTACATGCGGCTCTGACAGAAGTATTCATTCTCCCGGCCACGTTTTTGTTCACCTGCCATCGTGCGTGTGAGTCATTTTTATGTGTTTCCCGCCAAAGTCAAAGCGAAAACCACAGACTGTCAATCAGAATGATGCTCACACTTACCATCAAAAACATTCTTTTGGTTCTGAATACTGAAACTCATAAAGGTCATACATATTACAATTCCAACGAAGGGGATGGATTAATTGTTTTTTTTAAGTGTAATGTGTGTATATATATATATATATATATATAATATAATAGAGATATTTATAATAGAGATATTTTCATACTTATAACAGGACAACAAGCCTGCCATTCATAAATATTCACATCCCTTTGCTAAACATGTTCCTTACGCGCTGCAAAAATAGATACATGATACAGATACTCATACACTTAATGTCTTGCATCTGATAAGGAAGTTTTGTGAGACTGATGTTTTCGCCATTTATTTCCTGTTCAAAGCTATTTCATGTGAAATTGACAGATGTGCCTCAAATCTCGTTTCTGTCAATGCTTAACCTTGGCCTGACAGTGTTGCCTTTTCAGTAATATACTATATTTAACATTTAAATTGTACAAATCATACTTATATTTTCATTGTGGGCTGGCTTGTAACACATCTCACCTCGAAACTACTACCATGGAACACGCAAGGCCAGGGCTTTACTCATGAGCCAAAAATAATATGCTTCAGAACGCTGAGGGCCAAAACCCTCAGTTTAATGGATCTATTAAAACAGGTCTTGAATATAAACGTGGTCTGCATTGAAAATAAAAGGATTAAATCATCTGTTTTCTCAACTGGATAGAAAAGCCCATTGACAGAAACTTGAAAGAGATTTGACTCAAATTTTACATGTTGCACAATAACGATACCAACATTTATAGTAAGACATTTATTTAAAATTAACCACTAAACCTTAATTATTCCGTGTTGTAATAATTCTGTATGGAAAAGGTGTGCCGATCCCTTTTCCAGTGAGTCACTCATTCAAGATCCCACATTTTGAAGTTGTTCCTATGTAATCATTGCAAATGTGACTGTGAACAATGCTTTCCTGTCAAGAGACGCTTGGTTTAACATCAGTAATTTGTTCCAAGGTCAAAATGCTTTGTAGCTCTCCAACTGTCACTACCAGTGTGGTGCTCAGAGTGAAGTGTTGCTAAACTTGTGTGTCCGGTTGTATAGCGTCTGTCAACACAAAGGTAATTCTTTATTAATGGAACAAACGCAGACAGATCTTTGGGTGTTGGGAAAACAAAGCGCTGACAGATATTATCAGCTAACTGTCTAAAAGTCAAAGTCAAGAAAATGTTCTTTGTTAAATTTTCATGTAACTTCTAGTTATTCTATTCAATGACAATCACTCGTTCTAATGTTGCGTTTGGATTTAATGGTTAAATGACGATTGATATCATGTTTAGTGTGTCAATATCGGCCATCTATCTCAATCTAAAAATGCTCACACAATCACATGGCATGGTTAGGCCTGTCGCGATATTCAATAAATCAATCGCATGATAATTAAAATTAGCTCGATAATTTTCCTGCCCGCGATAAATTCCATTGCCAAGCTTTTTTGTTCTGCCCGTCTCTCTCCTGCCTCTCTCTGAGAGTCGCAAAGTGGTCACGGGAACATTTGCGGTCTAGCGAGCAGACTGAAATAACTCAAATACAAAATACAGCCAAAACAGGACCTAAACCAGGACTAAACCAAGACTTAACCAGGATTGACAATGGGGGACACGGTACAGTTGTTCTCATTCAGGCTCTAATAGTGACCAAACTAGCGCAGCTAGCGTTGGCGTGTTCGCCGATGCGGAAGTACAGTTTAATATTAAAATAAACGTATGACGCACCTCCGTGAACACATACTGCTGTTGTATAAAGTCTCTGGAAGGTCTCTGGACAAAGGGACGCTGCATAGCTGCATTCTTGGCAAAGAACTTCACACAAAAAGCAAATATAGCTTGATGCTAACGGAAAAATAAATAAATAAAAGTTTATTTCTCTTTGAAATGGTGTACATTGTATTAGATGAAAATGATCTCAGAGTGACAATCTTATCGCAATAATTTCTGAAACAATTAATTGTCCAGCAAAATTTGTTATGACAGGCCTAGGCATGGTAATGATTTTTAATTTACAAACAATAATACTGCAACGATCCCTATTCTCTGGAAACTCCTCAGGGTTTTGTACTGGTGATAAGTGTTAAGTATCTAAATTTAATACTAAAGAAATGTAATATCCAGATTCTAGACACGTTTGACAACCGTATTAACTCTCAGTGGTCAGTTTTAAAGTTTACATTTTATAAAAAAAAACAATCTGCCAAATGTTAAGATTAAAGTACTGTCCTCAATAACTTTAAAATGGGTAAATGGCAGAAATGTGACTGTAGTTCCGAGATCCATGTTTCTTCGTTTAGGCTTTTTACTTTGTATTTTACTTCATATTCTCATGTTGCATACCTCAGAAACAACTGCAGTGATATTTAGAATATTTTCATATATTGTCCAGCTCCATGGAGCTCTGTGCATCTTGATTCAGATCAGCGTTTAATAGTAGTAGCTGTTTAGCATTTGTACAGAAAATCTGCCCTCTGAATTATTTCCTGTGATGTGTTTTCTTGAGTCTTTTTACTGCAGTACATAATTTCAAGTTTACAACATGATCCCATTTTCTTCACAGAACGTGCAGAGATGAATCGAGTGAGGAGTGTATTCAACAATTTTGTAAGTATTAAGGTTTTCATATCTAATCCCCAATTAAATTGGCACGATGTCCACTTACTGTACTTGATCAGTTCAATAGATTATGTTCCGGACATCATACAAATATTTTATTTAATAGAAATCCATTCAAGCTATTTCTTTTCATATGAAATGATTTGAAAACCTTAAACAACGACTACAGTAGTACACATTTGATTTAAAAAATAATCTAAATATAGGTGTATATAATTCACACTTAACATTAATCTACTTTGTTCATTTCTACACAACACACCACAAACCTCTCCCAAACTATCAGCAGAGGGTACAACACATAATTGTGGAGGATGAGGGGATCTTTTTTGTTGAAGTGCTTCTTTCTATCAAATAACGTTTTTGCCATCGCCTCCACACACTCTGACCTCCTCCTCCACACACTCTGGCCTCCTCCTCCTCCACACACTCTGGCCTCCTCCTCCTCCTCCACACACTCTGGCCTCCTCCTCCTCCTCCACACACTCTGGCCTCCTCCTCCTCCTCCACACACTCTGGCCTCCTCCTCCTCCATACAACACACACTCTGGCCTCCTCCTCCTCCATACAACACACACTCTGACCTCCTCCTCCACACACTCTGACCTCCTCCTCCACACTCTGAAAGCCTCAGGCCTTTTTTGCCCAAAATCCACTTGCAGTGCGCACTAAAGTAGGGCATACGCTGTTTGCTAATGCTTTTAATGTTTTTAATGTGTACCTCTGTCTCACTCCTCCTTCTCCACGCTCACACAGGAGACGCTGCTCCTCCTCCTCCACCTCCTCCGCTCATACTCAGCCAGTGTGAGCAGCTGAACGCGAGCGTCCATCACACATTACACAGCGCTCATTCCAGTCTCTTTCACGTCTCTTGAGTCTCACTCAGATTCAGACACTGCTAAAGTTATTTTGATAGCTCCGTATAGTTTTGCTCCGAAGGACCCGCTCTCCACATAGCCGCCCTCGCGCCTGCCTGTTTACAAATCGCTTTCGGTGAAAATTTGACACATAATTATAATGTACTTTTGGACAAAAACATCACGGTCCGCCATTTGTGGAGACCCCTTCCTTAGATTAAACAAAAAGAAACTTGTATCAATACTTGGTCACTTGAGTATATAGCTTTGATTCTAGTTTTACTATAAATTAATCTGATTGGTGATACTTTTGATTAAGCTTAGTGTCTCCCCTGATCTGCACTGGTGTTTGTATGTGCGCTTGTTTGCAAGATTGATTCCCTTCAAGGTAGTAAAGCTTTAGCTCTCATCCAAACTCACGACAGCATCTGCTTCTTCTCCTCAGATGAACAGTGAGCGCTACAGCCGCTTCACTTTGCAGACGGAGCAGGATGGCGAGCGGCGAGTGGAAGTCAAGCTGTCAGAGGACGTGGGAGACGGGGACATGGAGGGCAGAGCTGGAGGGTCCCCCACATTCAGACCAGCGCCGCATGGACAGAACCGGAGGAACCTGTGCTTCCTTATTCTCACTATCATCCTCATCTTTGTGATTGGTGAGGGTTAGCACCATAGACAGTTAGCACAAGGGGCTCAGTCACTGTGTGCATCTGGTCTGTATGTCTTTACGCTGAAACTTCAAAGGACCAAAAACTGCTACATCAACTTTTTATCATGTTTTAGCACACAACTATATCTTAGAATTATTAAAATTAGGGCTGTTAAATTACATTTTTTATTCACGCGTAAAAAAAAAATTAACGCATGTCCGAATGCCCATTTATCCATAATATCACTCGGAATGCTGCGGTGGATGGCATCAGAGCAGGTAAGGCCCTCTGGCAATTCAAGTTTTAAAAGAATACGCACGTGACCGCGGGGCTGTTGTTTGCTATGAACTGAAGTCCGCCTCCGCGGCTGCTCTGGTTGGGAGCCGCTAACAACGTCATTGCTGTGAGCAAATGCCGCCGCGGTAACATGGTCATATAAGACCATACACGCCACAGAACTATTGTCTGCATGTTGTGTTTGTGTCTTTGCAACCTGTGCGTAACCTATGCATGCAAATACACCGCAAAAGTGTCAGTGTCTCCTCCGGAAACTAAACTAAACTTGCTGAATTAAAGCTGGGGTACGTACATTTCCCCCTTTCATTAACAGCTCATTTTGGTTGTGCTCAAAAGCAAAAGGTTGTGAGCAAATCAAACAGATTTGATAATCTCATTTAACATCAAGTGGAGTGGATTTGAAATGGAATGTTAAAAATGCGATTAATCGTGAGTTATCTCACCATTTCTGTGCGATTAATCAACAAAAATGTAATCGTTTGACAGCCTTAATTAAAATGTAATTTTTTGAATTTACATGTCACCAGTAAAGTATATAATAGCAATAGCAGCTTTGTACAGTCTCACATATACAGTGGGGCATAAAAGTATTTAGTCAGCCACCGGTTGTGCAAGTTCTCCTGCTTAAAATAATGAGAGGTCTGTAATTGTCATCATAGGTACACTTATCATAGGTAAACTGTGAGACAGAATGTGAAAAAAAAATCCAGGAATTAACATTGCAGGATATTTAAAGAATTTATTTGTAAATTATGGTGGAAAATAAGTATTTGGTCACTTCAAACAAGGAAGATCTCTGGCTCTCACAGACCTGTAACTTCTTTAAGAAGCTCTTTTGTCCTCCACTCGTTACCTGTATTAATGGCACCTGTTTGAACTAGTTATCTGTATAAAAGACACCTGTCCACAGCCTCAAACAGTCAGACTCCAAACTCCACTATGGCCAAGACCAAAGAGCTGTCGAAGGACACCAGGAAAAGAATTGTAGACCTGCACCAGACTGGGAAGAGTGAATCTACAATAGGCAAGTAGCTTGTTGTGAACAAATCAAATGTGGGAGCAATTATCAGAAAATTGAAGACATACAAGTAGGGATGTAAAAAACTATGAATTTTCATGACCGACCACCGAGCCTCATTAACCGGTTGAAACCGGTTAACCGCGTAGTTTAAAATAGTCCACGTTCTTTGAAATAACAGCCATTTCGAGCCGCGTACTTTTCATAAGTGCAGCTGAGCGTTCTACGGGATCAGAGCCGAGACAGCGGCACCAAAACCCGCAACAGCTTCGGCACCTTTGCGCACAGAGAACTGCTGTTTTAATCTTCCCATTCTTCTGTGCTGCGGCTTAAAGCATTTTTAAGCAAAAGACAGCTCGTCCACATGGTCAGGGCAGCGAGTGACGAGCCGCGTCTCGCAGGTCTCCGCTAAAGTTTAAAAGTGATCAGTGTG